GACGGCCCAAGAAAGCCCCAAGGCGGCTCCGAGAGGGGCCCAAGAAGGGGACAACGAAGCGAAAATTCAAGCCTTCCGCCCCAAGAGGCCCCCACGAAGGCCCAACAGGCCCCCAAGAGGCCCCAAGCAACCCCCAAGCTACCCCCAAGAGGCCCCAAGACGCCCGCAAGAAGCCCCACACAGGCCGCAATGTGGCCGAAAACGGCCCCCAAGAGGCCGCGAATTATTCCCAAGAGGCCCCCGAGAAGCCTTCTGATAGAGACCCCAACGAACATCCAATTGGCTTCATACCCACAACCCAAGCACGGTGGCGGGATGGGCCGAAGGCCATAGATTGTCGAGGACTACCTTGCTGAAAGCGAGACAAAGGTGGAGAAACGCTGCCAACCAGTACTTGGGCAAGTACTTCACCTTGCAGTACGTGTCCGGCCACGAGGCGTGCTTCGGGGGGCCAGCCTTTTTCCTCTGAATGGCACCCTGGAGGGACGACAGCTGGGCGAATATCAGATCCTCATTGGCCTCCAGAAGAGAAACGTGTTTCATGAAGGCCTTCCGCAGATCCACCCTCTGGGCATTGACCGCCTCATCATCGCCCTTCTTGGGCGAAGGAGCCTTCTGTGCGAAAGTGGATATCTCCACGCCGTCGAGGACCACCTTGGCGCCCGTCTTGCGGCCCATCGGTGCGATGGTACCGAAAAGAAGACTCAGTTGATGCAAAAATTGCAACGCGCACCTGCGACCCAACAGTGCTATATGGGCGGGGCAAGGCGAAGACCAGGGCGATTGGCTCTGGTGGATGGAAAGCACGGAAGAAAAGAACTGGCATGGGCAATGACACTGGGGGGAAGGAATGAATGAGTGCGGGAGGGAAGGAAGGAGGATGGATGGACAGATGGTTCGCCCATCGAAGCAGTGGCTGAAAGCAAACTTGGAACCCAAGAAAAACACGTTGTCCAGAGCTCTCTCATCAGAACGTCGCTCGTGGATTCAAATTGCCCGCGTTCTGCGTGTGATATGGAAGCGGCCGTTTAGATTGCCACGAGGCTTCTCCGGGCAGCGTGGCCGACGTCGACCGTGGAATATCGAACAACTTTACCGCCGCCAGCTTCCGCAGAGGTTCCGCCGGTTCCACATGATGGCATGCCAGGTAGCTGCCAACGGAAACACCCGTCGAATGGGATTTGCGGGGGCGTTTTGGTCTTTGGAGGACCTCTGGGAAGCCAGCGAACATCAACAACATGCGTTGTACCACGTATGGTGTTCACACATCGGCAACTTCGGCCCTGCACGTAATTCAGGACATGTTTCAGCTTGCTCGGGGATCTCTGGCGCCGCGTTGGGGACTTTTTCGGGGGCATTACGAAATCGTTGCATGTGCCTCTTTGGGACGCCTTGGCGTCCGAAGGGTCCCCCTGGGCACCAGGTCCAAAATCCTGCGCCCGTGGGCCCTTGGCGTATTGTTTTTGCTGCTACGAAAGGGTTGGTCCGATCCACGCTGGGCTTGGAATTGAAGCAAAATAATCAGATTTGCTTGCGAGCTCGAGGGCAAGCGGGCCCGAAATTAGTGAATGCCCCCCTTGTCCGAAGGAAGTTGACCAATTCCCATTGCAAGTCCCACCAGCCCTCTGGGCGACAGGTGGTCTAACGAGGTCTCTCTTTCCTCTGTCAAGACAATCAATACAACCCCTTCTTCCCCTGCTCGGGGGAGGGGTTTACCCCTCCCCCTACCCCCTCCCCTGGACCTGGACGGAGGGGGTCGCGGCGAGTTGGAGCGCCCAAGATGGCCCAAGATGGCCCCAAGAGGGCCTTCAGTGCTCCAAGATGGCCTCCAAGATTGCCCAAGATAGCCGAAGATGGTGCAATATAGCTTCCAACATGCCTCCAAGAGGCTCCAAGAGGGACACAATACGGCCCCAAGTGCTCTCAGAGCCCCCATGGGACCCGCCAAGGAAGCCAAAATCCTTCCAAAACCTAAGGAAAATCCATGATTTTGGCCTTCCCGCTTCTTCGCTTCCGATGCGCTCTGGAGGCCTCAAGATGGCCCCAAGATGGCCCAAGAGAGCCCCAAGAGGGGCCCGAGAGGCCCCCAAGACGGCCCCAAGAGCGCCCAAGAGCGGCCCAAGAGCGGCCCAAGAGCGCCCCAAGAGGCCACTTTGAGGGCTCCAGTGGGGGGACCTCAATCGAGGACCCCCCCTCTTGTGGTCGATGGCCTCCAAGAAAGCCCCAAGAGGCCCTACAAGGCTCCCAAGAGGCCCCAAGAGAGCCCCAAGACGGCCCCAAGAGGGCCCCGAGACCCCCACAAGAGCCCCAAGAGGACCCCAAAACCATTCAGAAGAGCCCAAAGAGGGCAACGAAAGAGCCCCAACAGCACCCCAAGAGGCCCCCAAGAGAGCAGCGTCAGCAGCAGCACCACCACCGCCATCAGCGGCAGCGCCACCACTGCAACCAGCACCAGCAGCAGCACCACTAGCAACAGCAGCAGCAGCACCACAAGCAGCAACATCAGCACTAGCACCAGCAGCAACACCAGCAGCAGCACTGCACCCTACCACCAGCAGCAGCGCCAACAGCAGCACCAGCAGCAGCACCAGCAGCAGCAGCACCAGCAGCAGCAGCAGCGGCAGCAGCAGCACTAGCACTAGCAGCAGCAACAGCACCAGCACCACCATCATCACCAACACCAGCAGCAGCACCACCATCAGCACCACGAGCAGCACTATCAGCAGCACCTGCAGCAGCACCAGGACCACCAGCACCAGCAGCAGCACTAACAGCACCGGGGGGGCAGCATCACCAGCAGCACCAGCAGCAGCAGCAGCAGGACCAACAGCAGGACCAGCAGCAGCAGCACTAGCAGCAGCACCACCATCACCACCAGTGCCAACAGCAGCACCAGCAGCATCACCAGCACCAGCAGCAACAGCACCACCAGCAGCAGCAGCACCATCAGCAGCAGCTGCGGCAGTGGCAGCACCAGCAGCAGCAGCAGTATTACTAGCACTAACACTAGCAGCGTCAGCCCTCTGGCATCGCTTCTGGATGGGCTGGTGGGGATCCACGAAGCGTAAACAATTATGTTCCTGGGCACGGGCGAAAAACGGGGGTTGCATTTGAGGCGCCTTTTATTCCTCACCTACAGCCCGTATTGCCCCCGATTCTAATAAGTCGGGCGTTGGCGTTCGCCGCTGTCAACAACTCAACGATGTTGTTCCTGACGAAGTCCCTGGATGGCCGCAATGCCCCGCCCCACCACCAGACGTTTCCGACAAAACCCACGGGGCCGCCCAAGAAGCCACAAAAGACATCTGCGGAGGCGCCCGAAAAGCACCCAGGAGGCCCCAAGACGTTCCGTAGCCTGCCTAGGACACCCCAGGGAGGGCCCCATGATGACCTGATGCGTTTCCTGGAAGCTGCCAACACTATCCAAAACGTCTCCGATATGGCCCGACAACATAAATGCCCGCCCCTGACACCGACGGCGCGGATGTGCAAATACATAATAGTCCACAATATGTTTTGCCATACGTGGCTTCGGAGACGGCTCCCAAAACACAGAGGCGTTCCAACATCGCCCTCCTCGCGTTCCCAACGAACTCCAAGACGGCCCAGAAGGCCCCCGAGCTCATTTCTTCTAAAAGACCAACTGACAAGCCCCAATGGCCGCCAAGACAATCCAAAAAACGCCCGGCCGACATCCAACGAGGCCAGCGTCGCTCTTCGGGCATCCCAGGACGCCCCTAAGAGGCCCCTGAGGCGGCTTGAACTCCAAAACTTCCCAGGACGGCCCGGTAATGGTTCCCACGGCAGCCGAAGAGCGCCCCACGACATTCCAAGACGCCCCAAACAAAAACGTCGGGGGGGGGCGACTGACGCCCAATGTTGTTTACGAAGTCCTGAAATGGCCCCGTGGGACAATGTCAAACTCGGCGACGAGGGCGGGCTCCGTGGGCGCGCGGGCGAGGGCGATCGCCCAAACCGCGCCGAACCTCGCCCCCCTCCTCCTCGCTCCCCCTCTTTTTTCCGTCCCCCTCCTGCGCCCGCCCTCCTTCCTCGTCGTCGTCCCCCTCCCCCACGTTTCATTCCCTCCTTCATTCTCCCCCCCCCCTCCCCTCCCATCCTCCCTGCCTCCCCCTCCCCTTTTTTTTTTTACATCGACGGGGTCCACGATACCAAATCAGAACACGTGGCGCTATGCTTGACAGCGCCATATTGCACTATGCTTTCAAGCATTACCACAACGCATCAACGCAGCTGATAGGGCGTGAGACACAGCAAGATCACCGAGGAACTGGTCACTAGACAGGCTGGTGGGGACAAGCGAAGCGCATGTAGGGTGGTGGCGCAGGCGATACGAAAAACAGACAACGCGCAGTGGCCCCAGTCTGCGACGGAGAAACGACCAAGGAAGTGGAATAGCACATGCGAAAATAATCATAAAAGAGAAACGGATAACATTGACACGCACTGTGTAAGTGTTCCAACAATGATATGAAAACAATGAAATCAATCGCCGCGCGCCGGTGCAAACGACGCCCATCGGTGACCCTGCCCTCCATTGCAACGCAATGCAATCAACGTGGACAATACAAGTCATATTCACTTGAAAATTAACGTGTGCACGACGTTTCATCACCCTTCGCATGCGTACGTCGATGCATAATGTGTGACACCGCTTATTTGGTTTACAAACAACCCAGACACCGGAATTCATCTGAATATTTTCATCTTGGGGGTGTCTGGTGGTAGATGGATTGTGACCTAGGGAAGTGGTCTGGACCTCCAGGGCCGACGCATCGAAAAACTGGAGCAGCCGGATGTCTGGATTGGGGCTGTGTTGGAAGCCAGCCGGGAGTCTCTGGGGCAATCTTGGGGCCAGCTTGGGCTGTCTTGGGGTTCTGTCGTATGCTTGCTGGGCCGGCCCGCACGTCTCCGGAGCACATCGTGGGGCCGTCCTCCGCGCTGAGAAGTGGGGAGTGCACCGATCGCACGAAATCCAAGCGATGCATGCCACTCCTGGGGCCTGGAGGGCCATCTTGGAGCCTCTCGTGGCCGCCTGGTGCGCCGCGGCCCCCGGCGTCGCGCGCGCCCTCGACCTGGGCAGCGCGGAGGAGCTCCCTGCGAGGCAGGCGACGGGCACGAGGGACTTCGCCGCCGCCGTGGCGGCGTACAACACCAGGGCTGGCGACGCGGCGCACCCCCTGCAGGTCTCGCTGGCGCAGGGGGAGCGGAGCAGGCAGAAGGACTTGATGCGACCCGTCATGGACGTCCTCTGCGCGCGGGCCAAGGCCGACCTGGACGACCGCGCGCTCGGCCGCCTCCAGTCCTGCGGAGGCCCAGGAGCAGGGGCCTTCACGCTGCTGCCCACGGCGCCAGAGCACCGGATGGCGCCCGACCTCTACCAACTGTCCCTGCGACGTCGCCTCCTCATGGAGGGTCCGCGGCTGCTGAAGGACCCTGCATCGCAGACGCAGTGTCAAAACAGATCCCGCGAGGGAGTGGTTTGCGGAGCGTTGCATGAGCCCGACCAGCACCACGCCATCGCGTGCGAGACTGGCCCTGCCCGCACCTGGCGGCACGACCGGATCCGCGACTTGCTGGCGCGCTGGCTGGCCAGGAGGGTCGCTGGCTCAGTGCGGACTGAGCAGACCGTGCCGCAATGGACCCAGCGGCGCTGTGACCCCGCGACCGGCCAGGACCGCATGGAGGTGGCGGTGCTGGATGTCCAGTGTGTTGAGAAGGGCACCTGGCACGTCGTCGACGTCGTTGTCACGAGCCCCGACTCCGCCGAGCTGCGCGAGGAGCGTGCCAGAGCGACCCACGCGGGCCTGGCCGTCGAGGACGCGGAGCGGGGTAAGCACCGGCGCTACCCCCCAGGGCCAAACACGCCGCTCCTGACGCCCTTCGCGGTGAAGACAGGAGGCCGGCTTGGCCAGGCCGCCAGGCAGCTGGTCCTTGACCACCTGGACCGCGCGGAGGGCCTGGCGGGCGCCAGCGCTGACGCCACAGCCTCCTGGCAGGAGCTCCCGGCCACCCTGCAAACAGCGGTGGCCGAGCAAATCCTGGCAGCCCATCGGCCAGCCCACCGGCCGGCGGCTGCAGGCAGACGCCGCTGAGGAGGAGAGGAGGAGACTGAAGGCGGGGCCACCCTGAGGGCCGACACAGGAGGACGAGAGGGCGGAGGGCTTTGAGGAGGAGGAGGAGGAGGAGGAGGAGGAGGCGGAGGAGGAGGCGGAAGAGGACGAGGAGGAGGAGGAGGTAGAGGAGGAGGAGACAGCGGGCGAGGAGGCACAGGTACCTCCACGACGGCCCGTGAGAGGCCAGAAAGCCTCCAAGACGGTCCACGAGGCCAGGAGGAGGTGACGGAGGAGGTGGAGGAGGAGAAGGTGAGGAGGTGGAGGAGCAGCAGGAGGAGGACGCCCACGACGTTCCGACGACCGCCCCCCGCCCCCCGCCTCTTCCCTCCCCTCCGCCTCTTCCCTCCCCCCGCCAGGCCGTCCTTGCATGCTGCTCCCTGTCTGCCCTGGTCCCGCCGCCCTGGGTATTTTCCGGCCGCTCTGGTGTTTTTTCCACCGACCTGGGTCAGGGGCTTCGGCTCGCAGGTCGCGTGGGGGACCCCTCTCACACGCCTGCCCTGGTGGACACCCGCTGCAAAGGTCTGTGGGTGCCAGGGCTGCGGACGTGGAGGAGGAGGAGGAGGAGGAGGAGGAGGAGGAGGAG